GAATATAGAGAACTACATAGACTGATGAACAGGGACAGATCCAAAGACAGAGAAACAGCGATCAGACTATCAATCCCCAGAGGGAAAGTAGGGGAGGGTGGGGGTAAAGGGAAGAGATCAACCAAAGGACTTGTATGCATGCATATAAGCCAAACCAATGGACATGGACAACAGGGGGATGAGAACATGAGTAGGGGGGGAGTTGGGGGTTAATGGGGGGATGAGGACACATTTGTAATACCTTAACCAATAAAGAAATTAAAAAAAAAAGAACTGGTAAGCAGTATACTATTTTTTATTTCCATTTGAGAACCTGTCATGTTACTATGGAGCATTTAGGAGTGCGCCCCTGTCGTCCCCCCCCCGCCACCATCAGGCTGGAGCACCGCTGTGCCCATCCTTCTGTAGGGAGTCTGAAAGTGCAAATCATAGGATGATTACTTTTGGAAATTACTCTCTGAAGGGTTGAGTGCTTCAGTCTGTGAGTTCAGCATGCTTTAAAAGGTCTTGGGAATGAAATACAAATCCTCACATATTCTTTCACAAAGCCTGACTCTTCTAAAATATTTGTGCAGTCCTAGTCACTGCCGTTTCAGGAAACTATGATGGAGGTGTAGGACATTTGGCCAAGGCCACAGAAAAGTGTTGAAATTTGACTGAGAGATGGTTTGAGAAGGATAAAGGGTGGGGGAGGAGAACAAAACCTTCAGTATCACCAAGTGGTGAAGAGAGTAGAGTGAATTGGAAATGCTCAAAAATCTCCAAGTTCAAGGCCATCAAAAGATAGACTTACTATAACAACTTAAAGAACTCAATAATTCTAGAGGTGATCCAGATTAAATGATATATAAAATACAACGAATAGGGGATGCTTGCCACATTCAGGATTAGAAATTTGTAGAATGGGGTACTAAAGGAAGCAAGATTTAAGGAACCTCCTCTTCCCTCCCTTTCTCTATGTCAAACCCAGACCCTGGAGGCTGTCCTTTCAGCATTAAGTGGTTACTTATCTGTTCCTGGCCTGTGTTTAATAGATGACCTAGATTCCAAGTAATTGTAGAGTGAGTAGGGATGGATTTGAAACACTGCATTCAAATAGTTCTGCTTCCTTCCAGTCCCATGCAGTAAGATGTCTTGGTGTAGAAGGAGGGAGTGGAAGGCCTTTGGGCCATCGCTCTCCAGAACAGCTGGATCGAGGATGTGTCCATCCCTGGGGCATGTCCATCTATAGGAGCACATTCCTAAGTCCATTTCCTAGATGACCACTATGCTGTCATTTATGTGGGGGTGCTACTTACAGGCCTTTTCTTCTTGTCCCTTGCAGACTCCAAGCTGCCCAAGTCGGAGAATGGTGGTGCCCAGCAGCCCTTGGGGGCGGAGGAGGATCTCCTTAAGAGGTGAGTGTGAGTGCCTACTCACCGCTGGCTCTGAGCTCTGGCTGACCATTCTTTCCTGACTGGGGACCTTTCTCTGGTCTGAAGGCTCTAGGGCAGGGGTAGGCAACCTTTATGTGAGTGCGTGCCAAAACCAGCAAAATCTCTGACTCAAAATTCTTCTGCGTGCCAACCCTAATTTTTTGAGAACATGTTACGCCTACTTGATATCTCTTAAGGTGTATGTATGTGAAGAACCTTGAAGAAATAATAAAATTCATTCGAGCGACAAAAACACAGTCTATGATGATGAAAAATACATTTATTTTTTAATGTATACATGTACACTGATAGTCTGACAGAAAACTTTATGACTCTGTTTGATATTATTAGTGGCACTTTTGCTGCTGCATCACTGATGACAGAGATTTTACATCAGGTTTATATTTCGTGCCCTTCAGAGATATGCACGAGCTACTACTTTCATCCGTCAGGCTACTCCTATTACGAGCCTTAACAAAATTCATCACTGATAACAAAGACTCACAAGCGTATGTGGATGAAACCAAAACACTGGTCGGTTCTAGGAAGGCAGGGAGAGTTAAGGCAGAGGCATAGAAATTGCTCTTCCCCTCTCTCGTCAATCCATGTCTATGGTCTTTAAGATAACTTGTCATGTAAAATTATTTATTTATCTAAGATGCACCTACACTGAATTTATCTGAAAAATAAAAAAGTCGATATTAAGAAAAAAATTGTAAATGGAAGATTATAAGAGAGGGTTTCGTGTGCCAGCAAAAGTTACTGGCGTGCCATGTTTGGCACACGTGCCAGGGGTTGCCCACCCCTGCTCTAGGGTTTGTCTCACATACTTTGTCTTATTTAGATTGCAAGACAACCCTATGGTATAGGTGGTACTGGTCCTAGTTTAAAGGTGAAGAAACACCAAATGGGGCATGTGGACATTGATTGTTAATGTTTTCAAAAAATTCACTTGAAAAAGCCAGGACTAAATAGTTGAGTGTCTGTGCCTTCTGTGCCTGTGTGCATGTGCAGGCATATTTTTAGAGGTATGAAGGAGAAAGTGGACCCTCACAATTCTAGCTGTAATTGGTGAGATGGGCTTGGCTCTAGGATGCTGGTGACACTTCCCATCAGCATAGGCCAAACCCTGGAGAGCTGGCCATACCTCTGAACTGGAACCTGCTTCTCCTCCTGCGGCTTGTAGAATAGTGGTTAAGGCACAGAGGCCCTCCTGGAGTGCAGGTTTGCATTCTGATTTTACAATTTACTGGAAATGTGACCCTGGAAAATCATTGCATCTCTCTAGGCCTCTGAGAAGGACATAATTTGAGTACCCCTTTCATGGAGTATTGTCGTGATTAAATATGTTAATGTATAAAAAGTACACACAGTGCCTGGCACACAGAGTTCTCAATGAATGCTAGCTGTAGTTGTTATTGATAACCTCTTTAACACCCTTGAGGACAGATAAAGGACCAAGTGAATTTGTTTAAGGGGTGAAGTGTCAATCACAGTTGTTTTTTTTCCTTCAGTAAGTCAGCCTTACAGGTCTGTTCCATAGTCATGGATTAAGATTGACAGCCTAAGAATTTTACCTCACTAATCCTAAGAGGCCTCTCCAAGAATAACTAACTTGAACCCCTTTTTGGGTACTTTTAAACAGTGAAAAAAATGATCAAGTGATACATGCTAATGAAAGACTTAGAAAAATATTTAAAATGAACAAATTGATCCATAGGTTCACCATTTCAAGACAACCACTGTTAGTATTTTGGAATGTTTCTTTCAAATGTGTTCTTTTCCTTAGTTTAGGATTATTTTTTCAGTCATATATAATTTTATATTTTGCTGTTTTCACTTAGTATTATAATTTTTTTCCATTTGTTACACCTGCTTTTTAAACATTTTTATTGCTAAAAGTAGTTTATTGATGCTCAATTTTTAGATTCAACCTATAAACAAATCAAATAATGTATTTCATAATGATGATATAATATACCATTATGTGATTATAGCAGATGTCCAACAATCAAGGTCAAGTTAAAAGACATTTCAGTTGTTTGCATATTTTACACTATAATAAATAATACTAACAGCATCTTAGTACTAGTAACTTTTTTCTCTCTTTAGGATTATTTTACTGGGCAAAAAGCCCATAAACAGTTCAAAGGTTAGGGACAGATTCAGAATGAAGAGTTACATGTTCAAAACAGAGGGCTGCTGTATCTAAAAATCTTCAAGCACTCAAGTGGAGGCAGGGAAGGTGGGTTTTCTACCCTTCCAATCCACTTTGAAAGAGTGGCTAGCGAGGGATTGAAATCTTGCCCCAAGAATTTATCATTTGGGATATGACTGCCTGACTCCTCACTTGGTAGTCAGCTCTCCTCTGTTCTTAATCCATATTGTTCTGGCTGAGAGAGTCACTGTATCCCCTTGCCTCGGGCACTGTCACTGATGCCTGACTTCTGAGGGGTCAGACGGTATGAGCTTTCACAGTACTCTCTCTGGCTAGTGTTAGATTTAAGTTCCATTGGCCCACAGATCCCAGTTCCCTGGTCAGCTGAAGTGAGTGCACAAACTTTTTCTTGGCTACCTTCTGCCAAGTCATTATATCTGCTCCTGCTTCTTTCATGTCTCTCCTGGCACAGGTATAAACAGAAGCAGGCTATAGCCCAGGATGAGCTGTTTCAGGCGGCAAAGAGGGAAAGAGAGGCAGCCACGAAGTACCGGAATGCATCCCTGCACCGCGGGGAGGACAGCCATGACCAGGAGAAGCAGAAGTCAGCCGTGCTGGTGAGTGCTGATCTTCCTGAGCTGGCCTTTTATGCTCTCACAATGCAGGGAAGCAGGGGTCAGGCCTATGACCTGATTTGTCTGAAGCCCGGGGCCCAGGCTGTCCTCTGAGTCACCTTGTGGAAAGGGTGTATTTTTAGGAACCAGGAACCTGAGTTCTTATGACCCTTGCTCTGGTGCTGATACGCGTTGCTACCTCTGGTCTGTGTTTTCAGTCTCTGGGGACCTCAGGTCTATAGTTTAAGGGCTGGATCATTTGATGGCTTTGTTCGGATCTGAAACTTAACAGGTGTAAGTGCTGCAGTGGTATGTGTGAAGGGAGAAGACTGGGTCTTGGGCCATGCAGTAAATGAGATGTTAAGTTTGTAGAGTTAGGCAGCCTGGGTGTGAATCCTAGCTCCGTACTTGTTAGCATGAACACATCCTCCGGTGTCCATGAGCCTTGTTTGAAGATCAGGATGTTTGCACACAGTATTGCCCAAGGGATCAGTGGAGGTGATAAGTAACTGTGCAGGGCTTAGTGCTCCCTGGCAGATCATGAATGTGTGCTATTGTTATTAATAGACTTAACTGATGGGAGTCTATTCTGCTGTGAGTGCACAGATGGTCAAAGTGTACAGTAATCACATAAGAAATGTTGGCTGAACTAGACCCTCTCTGAGAAATACAAACAAGGTAGGATCCTGTCCCTTGGGAAATGTTCAGTCTAGTGGGGAAGGCAGACTTATACAAAAACTTTGAAAAAGGCCAAATCGGTTACATTAAGTGTGAAATGAAGGTGAAGATAATATGCTTGGGAATGCAGAGGCAATGGTGTCAACTGCAGGTGGAAGAGATGGCATTGGTCTCAGCCTTGAGCAATGTGGGTCCCCCAGGCCGAGGGAGCAGCTGGGCTGAGATAGGTGGATATCCAGGAGGTGATGGGTCCCGAGAAGGAGTGAGTGAGGTATGAAGACAGTTTAGAGGAGGCCTTAGATATCATGAGTAGTTAACCCACAATATAGCTCACAGTGACTCTGAAACTGCAGAGGATTCCCAGAAGTTCGTAAGGATAGGGATGATGTGATTTGACTTGTGTTTTTAGAACTCCGTGGCATCCTGGTGAAGAATCAGTTATGTAATATAGAGAGAAACTGGGGTGAGAACACAGTTTTAGAGGCTCTTGCAGTTAGTGTCTGAGGGGCAGGCAGGTTGTCACCCCTTTGCAGGCAGTTTGAAAACCAAGTCAAAAGGACCCTGGTCCTGGAGATGAAGGGTTAATCAATTGGTTGGCCACCTAGGACAGTCATCTAGCATGAAAAATTGCAGCTTCCAGGTGTGCTATCTGTTCTCACCTGGAATGTGTTAATTATAGTGAACGGGAATTCACAGCTTCCCTTCTCTACCTGCAAAGAAGAGAGTTGGGCCCTTCTTCCTGCAAGAGAACCTGTACAAGTGGGAAGAAACGTAAATGACCTCCAGTACAGGTGGGTAGTTTTTAAATGGAGGGAAACTTTACAGGATAGGAGATAACATCATTACTTGAGTCCCACCCCAAAATGTCTGGACGGATAATGCCCTTCTGAACCAGAGTTCCTAGGGAATAGTGAAGCAAGTGACTTCCTTTGTTTTGAAGATGTTTAGTAACTACTTTTCTTCATGCATTTAGTGGCCCTATTTTCTTTTGGAAACTTACCTGTTTCTTGATGTTGTGTCATCTTGCAGGGATTCCAATTCTAATGTCTGACTTCCTCTATGGAAGCTAGATCTCTTCTCTCCCCCTGTCACGGGTACTGGGAGGATCAGAGCACAGGGCCCAAGGCCAACCAGTCAGATCCTCTCTTCAGGGACTTTCAGTTTTGAGTGAATGAGGAGGCCAAGGTGGGAGGCCTAGGTGGGGGGTCACGGTGGGGTTATTTGTTGAATGGCTGACCAGGACTGTCATCCTGAGGCTGTCATCCTGTGAGGCAGCACATCCTCCTTGTGAGGAGGCCAGGTTGAACCCCGAGGCAAAACAGGCATGGCCTCTGGCATGAGCTGGCTGCCCACTTGTTCTCCATGTCTACTCTGACTAGTGTCCGCAAGCCCTGCACCCTTGAACCTGTAGCCTTGCCTGAGGATTTCCTGTCTGGTTCTCCTACCTTCTTGAGGATTAGATCATCTGCTGGTAACCTGCCATCAACTCTCCTTAGCTTCAGTTAGCTGCAGTTAGTTTCTGTTGCTTGGTATTATAGCAGATGCAGAGCCCAGTTTTAAAGGCTTACAATCACATTCAATACTCGGTGTGAACAGAGGAGAAGGGAAGTTAGTCCCAGGCCCTGTTCTATAAATCAGTAGGGGCACGAGGTACTCACCTGAGCAAAGCTGTAACCATCACTTCCATTTAGGTTGGTGTGGTTAGCATGTACTTTTAGTGGAGATCATTTCAAAACTGTACTTTGAAGGATTTAAATAAGAGGAGAAAGATGGAGAGAAGAACCTGACCAGCAGCATAGAGAATTTTCTTTCTTCATCTGTGTCTTCCAGATGCAAGGATTGAAGGAGCCCGCTAGGCAGAGCACATAAGGGTGCTGGGATCACAGCACATCCTCCTTGTGAGGAGGCCAGGTTGAACCCCGAGGCAAAGCAGGCATGGCCCCTGGCATGAGCTGGCTGCCCACTTGTTCTCGGTGGCTACTCTGACTAGTGTCTGCAAGTCCTGCATTCTTTTTTTTTTCTTTTTTTTAATCTCATACCGGTCTGACACTGAGGCGGTATTTTATTTTATTTTATTTTATTTTATTTTTTAAAAATATATTTTATTGATTTTTACAGAAAGGAAGGGAGAGGGATAGAGAGTTAGAAATATAGATGAGAGAGAAACATCGATCAGCTGCCTCCTGCACAGCCCCTACTGGGGATGTGCCCGCAAGCAAGGTACATGCCCTTGGCCGGAATCGAACCCAGGACCCTTCAGTCCGAAGGCCGACGCTCTATCCACTGAGCCAAACCGGTTAGGGCAAGCCCTGCATTCTTGAACCTGTAGCCTTGCCTGAAGGATTTCCTTTTGAGTTGGCTGAGTGCAGTTTGACATTTAATGTGTGCTTCTGCCCTGTCTTTTTGCCTCTGACTTTTACAATATTGATTTTTAAATCCCTTTCTGCATAAGGAATGATTCAGCTCATTATTGGGAAAAGTTCATAAAACTAATGACAAGGAAAGGCAATCATTTGTATAACCTACTTCTGATAACAAAAATGTTATCATTTCCCATCTAGTGCATCAGTGATGAACTGTTTTTGAGTATGTTTATGCCTGATTCTTGCCACTTGCTGACTGATAAAGCCCAGTTATAATTGGGGCAATGGCCCTGGGTATCAATTGAGCCTATGTGAGGTGTGTTTCTCTCTGAATTGGGTGGGGGAGGAAGTTGGTATCAATCAATGTTTTGGAGTCCAAAACATTCCAGAGAGAAATAAGAAAGAACAGAGTGATTTCTTGGGCTGATTTTTCTGATGGGAAGAGCTTTAAAAATCCAGTGGATGGAGCAATACAGGCTTGGCAGTGGCTTTACTTTAGGGAAGAATGAAATTTATAACCTTGCCTGTTAGAGTCTTGATACATATGATTAGGTATACATGATTGCATTATATGTGATAGGAAATAAAAACTTTAATTTCTTTTCTTTTTTGGTGAGCAACTTATATAAAATTTTCTCTGTATTCCTGTTATATGTTAGGCATTGGGTTAATTTCTTGGTGAACGGAAATAAGTAAGATATAGCCTGATTTCCTGAAATCTAGCTGAACAGAAGTCTTACAACTAAGGATATAAAGAAGAAGCCATATTGAGACTGGTAGGAGGAGAGGAGACTTGGAGTTGGCTGGTCCCTTACCCTCATGTGATGGTTAAAATTGGGAGGGAAAAAAATCACTTCTGGGTATTTATGCAAAGAAACTCAAACACTAAGTTGAAAAGACAGCTATACATATAAAAGCCTAAGCAACCAGCTGACCGGCCAGCAGCTATGATGCGCACTGACCACCAGGGGGCAGATGCTCAACACAGGAGCTGCTGTGACTTGGGAGCTGCAGTTCTTGGGTGACACACCTGGAACCAGAGAGGAGGGAGCCCGATTCCGGGGTGCATCACCCGAGAACTGCCCTCTCGCAATCTGGGATCCCTCAGGGGATGTCAGAGAGCCAGTTTCAGCCCAATCCCCACAGGCCAGGTCGAGGGACCCCACCGGTGCACAAATCCTTGCTCCAGGCCTCTAGTATATTTATATGTTCATTACAGTATTATTTACAATAGCCAAGATGTAGAAGCAACCTGCCCTAACCGGTTTGGCTCAGTGGATAGAGCGTCGGCCTGCGGACTCAAGGGTCCCAGGTTCGATTCCGGTCAAGGGCATGTACCTTGGTTGCGGGCACATCCCCAGTTAGGGGGTGTGCAGGAGGCAGCTGATCGATGTTTCTCTCTCATCGATGTTTCTAACTCTCTATCCCTCTCCCTTCCTCTCTGTAAAAAATCAATAAAATATATTTTTTTAAAAAAGAAGCAACCTAAGTGTCATTACAGTATTATTTACAATTGCCAAGATATAGAAGCAACCAATAGATGGGTGGGTAACAAAGAAGTGATATGTATATGCAATGGAATATGACTCAGTCAAAAAAAGAATGAAATCTTGCCATCTGCAACAACATGAATGGACCTAGAGACTATTGTGTTGAGTGAAGTCAGACAGAGGAAGACAAATGCCATATGATTTTATTTATATGTGGTACCTAAAAAAACAAAATAAATGAATAAGCAGAACAGAAACAGACTAATAGATACAGAGAATATTTTGACAGTTGCTAGATGGGAGGAAGGTTGGGGGATGGATGAAAATGGTGAAGGGATTAAGTAGTACAAATTGGTAGTTACAGAATAGTCATGGGGATATAAAGTGCAGCACAGGGAATATAGTCTACCATAATCTATCTATCTATCTATCTATCTATCTATCTACCTACTTATCTTCTATCTATCTATCT